TCTGTCCAGCTCAATGAGCTAGGATCTGTGCTGACCTCCATCACTCGTGGCTTCAAGAAGCTAGGCTCGTCCAGAATTTCTACAAAGACTGATCTGGAGCTTTGGTTGCCATCCGAAGCAAACTTGGAGAGGGAGTCTTCTTGCTCATTTTCAGATCGAGGTATTTTGCTTAAATGGAATTTCTGGAATTTGGATTTCAGTTCGGCCACCAGAGCTGCATACTTTATCATAACAGGATCAACCACTTCACAGACTGAGTTGACCTGATTGACTACTAGCTGTGAATCACTGTATATTTGTATTACTTTAACCTTCAGCTCTGTCGCTAGCTGTAAGCCGAGTAGCAGGGCTTCATATTCGGCCATATTGTTGGTGGCATCAAAATTAAATTTTAGAGCGTGTTCGCTTCGATACCCATTTGGGCCAAGTAAGAGTGCACCAGCACCAGAACCTTTGTTACTTGATGTGCCATCAACATACAAAATCCAACTGTCCACCTCGGACTGGGAATCATAGTGAGCCGAGGTACATTTTACTATGAAATCGGCAAGAGCCTGAGCTCGGATTGCTGACATCTGCTGAAATGTGAGCTCGAATTCGCCCAGTTCAACTGCCCATTTGATCAATCTCCCCGAACATTCTGGTTTCTGCAAAATTTGTCTGAGCGGCTGGTCCGTGTGGACTATGATTGGGTGTGATTGAAAGTACGGTCTCAGTTTCCTGCCCAAAGTGACAACTGCTAAGGCTGCTTTTTCAGCAATGGAATACCTGACTTCAGCTCCATGTAACACATTACTGATGTAGTAAACTGGTTTCTGTTGCTTCCCCTCTTCCTTTATTAGCACAGAACTGATAGCTTCATCTGATATGCCGAGGTACAAGTAAAGGATTTCTCCATCCTCGGCCTTTGTCAGTAAAGGAGGTGAGCTAAGATAAGACTTCAGCTCGTCAAATGAATCTTGGCATTCTGGATTCCATTCAAACTTCTTTTGTTTGCCAGATTCATCCTTTTGGGCTGCCAATCTCATAATCTTGAAGAATGGCAAGCATTTATCTGCTGATTTCGAAATGAATCTATGCAGAGCTGCTACTCTCCCCGTCAACCTCTGTACATCTTTTACGGACTTCGGTGGCTCCATCTCGGCTACTGCTTTGATCTTCTTAGGGTTGACCTCAATCCCCCTTCTGGATACCATGAAGCCTAGAAAGTTTCCTGACTCCACACCGAAGATGCACTTTGCTAGGTTTAACCTCATTCTGTTCTTCCTAAGATTGTTGAATGTCTCCTCAAGGTCAACTAAGTGATCCTCAGCTTTCGAACTATTCACCACTATATCATCAACATAAACTTCCAGATTCCGACCTATTTGAGCTTGGAATACGATGGTAACCATCTTTTGGTAAGTGGCATCTGCGTTCTTCAAGCCGAAGGGCATCATCACATAGCAATAGATTTCATCGCCGGCATAGAACGAGATTTTGTCTTCATCCGCGGGAGCCATTGGCACCTGGTGATATCCTGAATATGCATCCAAGAGACTCAATCTCTCATTTCCCGAAGCTGCCTCAACCAGCTTATCAATGTTTGGCCTTAGATAACAGTCCTTTGGACATGCATCGTTGAGGTTAGTGTAATCAATGCACATCCGCCATTTACCGTTCCCTTTTTTCACTAGCACCGGATTGGCGACCCATTCACAATAATCAACCCTTTTGACAAAGCCAGCTTGTAGGAGTTTCTCGACTTCTTCTTTAATAACTTTTAACCTTTCCCCTCCAAAGAGGCGTCGCTTCTGGGCTACTGGTTTCTTAAGTGGATTGGTGCTGAGTTTATGTTGAGAAACTGAAGTGGGAATTCCTAGCATATCTGTTGAAGTCCATGCAAAAACATCTTTATTGGCCCGAAGAAAAGCTATTAGCTCAGCTCTTTCCTCCGGGTTCAATTTAGTCCCAATTTGCGTTTTTCGGCTCAGATCTCTGTCATCAATCTGTACCTCTTCCACATCTTCGACTAGAGCAGCTCTGGTTTCATCTTTTGGTCGATTATCTACTATCTCCACACCCATAACTTGCCGATTGTCAGGAATCCTTTTGGGATTGACCTCCGGTGTCTGATCTTTGCCCTTCTGAGGTTGTGTGATCGAGGTGATATAGCAATGTCGAGCCACCTCCTGGTTGCCTCGCAGCGTTGCTATTCCCATGGGAGTTGGGAATTTCATGCATAGGTGAGATTGGGAAACCACAGCTCGGATTTCAGTTAGTGTGGGTCGGCCAATGACGACGTTGAAAGAGGACGCCATCTTGACTACCAGAAACCGAACTGAAGGGGTCACATAACTCCGGCCACTTCCAAATGCAACATTCATGGTGAGGACTCCTTCAACTGGGACTAGCAGGTTATTGAATCCGTAGATGGGACCATCATACCGCTGCAACAAAGCCAGATCCAACCCGAGACTTTCAAAACAATGGAAGTACATGATGTCTGGTGCACTCCCTGTGTCAACAAGGACGCGCTGCACCTCACAATTGTTAATCGTGACAGAAGTGACTAAGGGGTCATTGTGAGGTGTAACAACTGTATCGAGATCAGCAGATGTGCAGGTAATGGGTTGATTCTTCCACTCAGCATCGTCAAATTTTCGCTTCTGAGCTCGGTTCTGATGTTTAACCTCTCGGACATACAACTTTCGCTACTTAGAGCTCAGTCCACCGGCTTCCAAGCCTCCTGTGATCATGTGTATGATTCTAGCTGGTGGTGGGAGCGGAGGTGGGGTTTGCTGGTATCCCACACCTTGTCGATTTGGCAGGTTACGGATTCCTTGAGGTGGTGGCCCTTGTTCTCTAACAAATCGTGGCTGTTCAGCTCTCTGAATGTACTCATTTAACAATCCCTTCTAGGCAAGACTTTCCAGTTCGGACCTCAGGCTGTTGCATTGCTCTGTTGTATGACCATGATCTTGATGGAAATCACAATATCTAGTATGATCTCGGCTAGCAGTAGTAGTTCTCATTGGGCTGGGACGCCTTAAATCCATCTTATTCTTGATCTGCATGAAAATTTGTGACCGAGGCAAATTAAAAGGAGTCCAATTAACTGGAGGTTTACCTTCAAACTGTTGTGGGGGTGCAGAGTTCGGCCTTCCGAATCTTGGTACGGAGGTCGACATCGGACCTCGGTTCTGTGCTATTCTCATCCGCTTCCTGCTCGGATTCTCTTCCCTCCAGTCTGGGTTCTGGTTCTTAGAGGGGGTTGGTTTCTGCGACAAGGCATATTCTTCAGCAGTTATGAATTTCAATGATCTATCATTTACCTCGCTGAAGGTGGTGGCAGGATGTTTGAGTAGACTATCTCTGAATCTCTCATGGCCAAGACCGGAGATCACAGCTGTAATTCCCACAGCTTGGTCGAAAGAGTTAACCTTCAGCACTGCATCATTGAATCTGCTCATAAAATTCTTCAAAGACTCTCCATCCCTTTGCTTAACTCGCATCAGCTCGGAAGTGGTTTTCCTGATCAACCTTCTACTGGAAAACTTTGTGGCAAAAGTAGATGTCATGTCTGTGTAAGAGCTGATTGACCTCGGAGGCAGACTGTAGTACCAGGTTCGAGCATTACCTCGGAGGGCAGAGGGAAAGATTTTGCACATCAACGCATCAGAGGCGTTTTGGGCTTGCATGCAAGAGTAGAAAGCATGTAGATGATCATCGGGGTCCTTCGTCCCATCATAAGTTTCAAGTTATGGTATCTTGAAGCCAACGGGATAGGGTTCCAGTGTAATATTGGTGTTGAGAGGGTGGGGTACGGAGTCAGCAGCAGGGTGTGGAGGTGGGCCACCTCGATGTTCAGCCACTAGCTTTTCTAAGCTATCTAGACGTCGAGTGACATCATCATGAAAAGGTTGCTGAACTGGTGCGATGTGAGATTGGCCCTGAGATTCACTAATAGCAGGAGCATGCTGAACTGGTTCAGGATTTTGTGGTGGAGCTGGGGGTTGTGGAGCAGGATTAAGTAGGTTGATGAGTGGATCACCAGGATTGTTCCGGGCTAACAGCTGAGCCAGCACTAGCTGAAAGACACCAAACTGTTGTTGCATGGCAGCGAGCTGAGTTGCAACTACGTCTTGGTTAGCAGTAGAGGCTGAGTTGTGAGCCGAATTGTGTGGCTGATTTTCATCCCCTCCTTCTGTATGGTCAACATGAGGGAATGTATTCGGGATTGGGGGTGGGGGATGAGGTGGAAGGTTGCTGGGGACCTGACCTCGTCCAAGAGGTTGAGACGAGTTTCCACCTCGGGCTGACCTAGTTTTAACCATGATAAGAGCAACAAGGGAGCCTTTAGTTCAGATTCCCACAGACGGCGCCAAAATGTAACTGCATCAAACCAGAAGTTCTTCTTCAGTCCATGTCTGCACTCCGGATTGACTTGCAAAGCCCCGAGGTGGATCCTCGGGGTAGACACTCCAATGCTTAAGTCAGCAATAATCGAGGCTACCTTTAGAGCGGAGATAAAAGGAGCTTAGGGTTGGTTTCAATTACCTTTTGGCGTGGCCTTTGAGGGGTATTTATATGCTCCAATGAAGAATCTACATGGCATGCCAAGCAAGATACTCGGGATCTGATGTGTATCTCCAGGCGGTTATTTCGGGACCGGGAGATTGAGCCAAGCAAGATATTCGGGATCTGATGTGTATCTCCAGACGGTTATTTCGGGACCGGGGAATTGAGAGATATTTAGATGCGAAGATGTCCATCATAACTGCTGTACAGCTGTTCGAGCGGGAAGCTCTGGATTTACTCTTCACTCCGATTGTAAAGGAATTACTGTCGTACGTTCGAGGCTGGGCACCTCGGTCCTGCCCTTACAATAGTGCACAAAATGTGCAAATGGAGGAAAATGAGCAGAAAATGCAGAGAGAGGATGTTGATGAAATGGCTCCACAAAAACAAAATGGTGAGGAAGAAGAGAATGTTGGTGGAAAAGAAGAGGCAGCTGGAAATGGTGACGAAGAATCAAATGAAGCACTGAATCATGCTCCATTAGACTTCGCAGTACCTAAAAACTGTGATTTAATTTGATGCATTAAGTCTAGAGGTAATAACCAATATTAATCCTTGATATATTCGAAAGGGAGAAAAAATGTTTCAAGACTTGAAAGAAATCATTATTTTTGAAATATTAAATTAAATTATCCTTGATATACA